GATTCGATATAATTGAATTGGATATAATATTTCAGATATGTGATTTATAATAATTCGTGTGTTCGGACCATTCGTCTCCGTCTACATTTACTTCGATCAATTATTTCTTTTATCATAGCTTAATAAATATAACTTTGAAATTCATGACTACCCACTGAAACAATTGAAAAAATTCTGGGAATAATTATGTAGTTAATTTTTATAATTATTTACATGGAAGAGTGGCAATATTTTATGATTATTTAAAAGCGAGATTTACGCAGACGTAAATTTCATGTACTAACTATAAGTAGCATCAGTCCTATCTTCGATTATCTCTTGCTCCTCAAACTGAATCGATAACGTAATTAATCCCTTTTTTATTAATAACATGGATATAAAAAAATTACTATCTATTTTGTTAGTGAATTTTATTATAATTTTTTTTTTTTATTTATCAATCGCTTATATGTATATAAAACAATACCTAATGATGAAATAATGATTGCTTAAAACAATTTTCGACAAGCTGAAATAATAGGAAAAGACGAGGACGCATTATTTTGCGTTGTCGTGGTGTTACAGGAGAAACATAATGTTTAACAAAATTATTAATTATTGTACAATAGTGATACATAATTTTTAGACGAGAGAAAGAGAATGAAAAAATGGGCTGTTGAAAGTGAGAATGAAAGAGAGATAAAACTCGTTAGTATTTCGCAATACTCGAACTAAAGGGCGATATTCATATTATCATGTATATATGTATCAACATACATACATACATACGCGCATGCATATGCGCACTCACGCGCATATATATATATATATATATATATATATATATATATATATACATATACATACATATATACATATACATACATACGTTGTGCGTATATACGTATGGTGTGAGCGCGATCGTGTGACCGTGTGTGTTATGCAAACTTGTCATTGCATCGCGTCGACACCCATTCGCGTTTGAGCGCATGGTTTGCGACAAGAAGGACTTTCATTATTCCAAATCCACATCACGTCAATGCGCCCGTACGAAACGCAACCGACGTACATACGTATGTATGTATGTATACACACTCATATACATATTATATATTGTTATTATCGGAGCTTTCCGAGATTTTGAGGAGACATGCGCGGGTGATGGAAAGATTATAAATATAATAGAAAAAAGGTTCGGTATTGAAAAAGTCACTGGGAAACATATGGATACTTATAAAACTAAAGTAAACATAAAAAAAATTTATTAGAATATTTATAAAGAATATGATTACGAATATGATGCATGAATAAGGCTAGTCCTGTTCAGGTCATTCATCTATATGTTTCTAAAGACTTTTTTAACACAGGCCACTCATATATACATATGCACTCACATCGGCTATGAAAAAAAGTAGCTAATTATGTTCGTTTGTGAGTGCTATTATTAAATGTATACCGAGTGAAATGGTGGTGGTGCTACTGCTACTACAAATCTGTTTCGATAAAAACGTAAAAATCAAATTGAAATTTGACAACTTTATCGTACACCGAAGACAACATACGCAAGCAAAATACACACTATCACAATTATATTGTAGATAAATAGAGGCGCTTTCGAGAAAGTCAAAAACCCCATTTTTAAAGGAGCTCTCGCCAAGGAGAGTGTGGACGAAATAAAGATATTATTTACTAATAAATGAATAAATAAATATATCTATATACCTAGACTAAAATAGAAGAAAAATATGTATATCTTAAATTTAGGTACAATACTTATTCTTTTGAAAATGAAAAGTGTCGATTTGTTTGACGCGAACTATATAATTTTGTCAGTGAGCAATAACAATAAAATTCGTCTGTTCAGACTATACTCGGAGATGAGACTTTGATCAGTCCTGCCACATGGATTTTCATTTCCCTTTAAAGTAAACCGAAAATTTGAGATCCATCTCAACGTATGTAACATAAACGATCATACGAATAAAAATTCACGGAGATGATAAATGTATATCTAAAGCAAAGTCTTGTTTCTGTAAAACAGTACAATCTTTTAACGAATTGTATTAGTAATTTTTGCAAAAGTCGTCCAGCGCAGCGATCTATAAACCGAATATAAACATTGCATACATAGCTTAACAGATGAAAAGTAATAAGAAAACACACACAAAAAAAATAAATAAAAAAAAAAAAAACAATTTGACATTGGTATTCGCGTCCATATTTTTTTATTGAAATAATAAGTGAGATTGAACGGAAGTACGAAGAGGAACAAAAATCATAATAATAAATATATATACATGGTACCTATTTGCTAATCGCGGTCTCTACTCGCAAAAAACCGCTCGAAAACGAATAAATCGGTCGCCTACATTTTCGTACACCACACGCACGCGCACATCCACCTACACACGCACAGGTACGCGCGCGTACACACCATACACATAAACACAGAGAGAGAGAGAGAGAGAGAGAGAGAGAGACAGACAGACAGACAGACAGAGACACGCTCGCTCGCTTATTCGCTCGCGTTATGTGTTCAGTTAAAGAAAAGTGACATATGCATAATAATAAACACGTGCACTTTGGGAAAAAGTCTTGTAAAAGCACAATCCTTGTATGTAAAGTAAAAGTGAGTGGCAAACGACTGTATTTGATTCGATCTACTTGAGCAAGTGTTGAGTGAAATTATTTTTACTCGGTATTTTTATGAGACTTTTTTCAGCACAAAATAGCACGTGGAATGTTGAAATGCCGAAAAGTCACTTCAAATTCAATTGTGCATTATTCGTTCTTAATTTAAATTCATATTATTTACCTAATTTTTTCAAAGATTATAATGTTATTGCGTCTTTTACAGCGAGATTAAGAAAAAAAAAATTTTAAATAATTTTATAACGTTAATAATTAATAAATATAATTACTATCGAATGATTAATTATTAATGAAATAATTAATTTACTAAATATAATTGAAATTAATAGAAATTGATTAAATTATTAATTCGATTTAATGATTAATAAGATATAACGATGGAGTTCTTAGTTACAAGTTCTCAAAAACACATATAAAGCATGAAACGATCAAGGATAAATATCTTTTAACTAACATAATTTTATCGATATGCTGGAACATTTAAATGAATTAATAAATATTTTCGGTATTTCAATTGTTTTACGGAAACCATTGTATATACATTGCTATTGATGACGAATACGACTATCTTGTTTTAAGGCCCAGGAGACAGATTCTATATAACATTAAGGAAAATATACATAATGAGTCTTCGTCAGCAGCACGTGTATAATGAAGAATAAAATAAATATCAATTATAGAAAATCGTAGATCTACATGATTGCGGATTATCCAATTCCCAACCTCCTTCACCGAAAAGACCAGAGAGTGAGAGTGAAAGTGAGAGAGAGAGAGAGAGAGAGAGAGAGAGAGAGAGAGAGAGAGAGAGAGACAGACAGACAGACAGAGAATGTGTTTGAGCGTGGTGTGCTGAAGTAAAACGATCTGTGTATTTCGGTATTTTAAAGTTAATAAGTTACGTAGCGATAATTATTATCCTTGTCTTTTTCTTATAGAGTTTATAATATAATGCGAAGCTAAATAAAATAAAAAAAATATATAATTTATCGCCACCCGCGCGCCCTACTAAAATCGAAGAATCGATGTGTATTCTTCGACAGATGAAAGAAAAGGTGGACACAATTTGTTTATCGTTTTGTTATTTGATATATATATATATTTTTTTTTCTTCTTGTCTCTCCTTTATTTTCGTTTTTAACGTGTACAGTTTTACACACTGGCACATGTACGCATCATACACATTATTTCACAGACCGATGGTTCGTTTTTAACAACGTCGTCATTGTCGCCGTCTTGATCGTCTATGCTGTTGCGAATGACGTGATTTGCGACTCATCGGTACATGTTTTACACAAAATTATGATATAAAAAGGATTTAAAAAAAAAAAAAAAAAAAAAAAAAAAGGTAGACGATATGGAGGGAAATTATTATGGGATGCGCTGTTACCTTATAGAGATGATTTCAAATACTATATTTAATTACAAATAAATCGGTTAGACGTTACCATGAGACTAATAAGGATTAGTAAAATATAAAGTCTAACGATTCATTTGACATATAATAATCAATAATGATGCGTCAGTAATATTTCTCCAATGTTTTAAGTAAAATCGTATCGGTATCGGCAATATTTCGTACATTATAAGTACATATTTTGTACTTACGATCATTGATAATATTGCAGTAATGCTCAAGTATTTCCAAAAACCAATTTGGAACATGAAATATTGTAGAAATATTACTGAAATGTTGTATTAGAGAAATTTCAAAACGTATGCTGCAGTTAAATTTTTGAAATATATCATTTGTAATATGGTAGTTGAGATGTTTAAATATTTCTGTACCATAAAGCCGAATAAAAATAAAATATTTCCATAATATACCCAGGCAAGAGCGAAGATATTGTTAGAAATTGTATAAGTGGGTATATACAAATCAAGATTATTATGAATAAATGCGGGATAATTTTATACATATTAAAAATGGAAACAAAAAAATCATATTTTGGAGTATTACAAATGTGAGCAAGTCATAGGAAAACATAATGTGTAAATATTATGTTGTATTGCTTCACAATTTTGTTAAACATTATTCCATATATATATATATATATATATATATAGAATGACTTGTTTAAATACTAAGAGAAGATAAAACGACGGCAATGACGATGCTGAAAAGCGAGGGAATAATATATTATAGACATACGATTAACATTATAAACATTATATTTTATTAATTATTACATATACATATGGATATGATAAATATATAAGTATAATGTTACATAGAATATATCTCGATTTCATTTTCTTTGAATACCCTACATTTTCATTATTCGTATAATCCGTATTTCATCTCCGCTAATTTTCATTTTAATGCATTATAATTTTAAAGATATTATGATATAATATTGCAAGCAATTTTTGGAACGAAACGATGCAGCAAATTTTATTTTTTCTCAAGTTTCGTTCGATTTTCATCAATGAGTCACGTGACACGATCAACCAATTATAGGTTAATAATACAAAAAATGCTTTATGACTCGGAATACAGAAGCACGATTGGTCGATTTTTCAAATGGCCGTTAGTTCGCATGAATTCGACTTGAATGTTTATATATTTTTCTCTGTGGTTCAAATGAATTGTTCAAACAATATCAAACAGAATTGGAGTTAGAACACAATGCCGGTTAATCTAACGGTCAATGAGAGACCAATTGGTATTCGCCGAGGAAAAATGGTTCTATCGGATCTTGAGAATATAAAAAAAAGCGAGAGAGAACATCGGAGGAGGTTACGATCCGAACAAGTAATAATATTACATTTTAATTTCAAAGTCAATTGAAATCCTTATATATTAATTTAATAATATTGATATATAAAAGTTATAATATGTTTTAGTCCTTATGTAAAAATTATTTGTTTATGTATATTGATTTTTTTCACTGCTTTCATAATATTTATAATAAAATTTTGTGATAAAATACATCAGGTTCGTGAACAATCTAGAGCTCTTTCAAAAAGGATATTAGAAAGAACGAGACAAATAGAGAAAGAGCAGCTTAGTCGACTCGAACGAGATGCTAACACAGAAATGAAAAAAGCACACGACAGAAAGTTAATGGCATTTCAACGTAGATATCAAGATATAGAAAACATTGGGTATGCGCATAAAAATGCATTGAACCAGCCAAATGTCGAGGAGATAAGAAATGTCGAAGAGCAACAAAATAAAGCAGCTGCTAAGATTAGAGGAGCTAAAGCTCTTAAACAATTACACGAAGCAAATCAAGTAAAATGCGATGATAAATAATATATATTTCTATTTCACTTAGATAAATTTTTTAATAAATTAATATTAATAATAATATGTTGGTCCGGATAGATTGTTGATACACATGTAAAAAAACAGCAAAGGTTACTTGAAGTTCGAAGTTTAGAAAACGAACGATCTTCAATGGTATCCAAGTTACCCAAAAAACCATCTATTGTAAATAATCATTTGGTTGAGTCTTCGGATAATGAAAACGTTAAAACTGCATCCAAAAGAAGGGTGAAATGTATTATTTCTAAAAAATCCCCAGTAAAGAAATTGAAAGATACTAGAGTTTGTATCAAATTATTAATATTAATTATAATGTAACATTTTCTTGTAAGTATATTAATTTACGATAATTATTTACTATAAGGGTCATTTAATTCAGAAGAAAGTACCTTGTATATCCGTGACTGCACCTAATGACGATGTAGATAAAATATCGCCCTTATTGACTACTTGTATAGACGAAAGTAAACCAAGTAGTTCAAATAAATTATCAAATTTTTCTCAGAAAGGTTCAGATAATATGGAAGAAGGAACTAATGCAAATATTTGTGAATCTGATAACGAACCTCGAAAAACAGTGCCCACTTCAAGTTCTGTATACAGTAAGCCCGAGAATCTTATTAGGTAAAAATATATTTTAGTAAATAATTTTATATTTTGATATTTTTTCTAATAATATTATTTGATAGGTATAATAAACAAAATTACCAAAATATTTCCTCCGATTTAAGTACTACTTGCACTACGTCTTCCTCATCGATTAGCGATGACTCTTCATATTTTTCTGACACTTGTAAAGTTTCTACAGTTAAAAAAGTTCCTTCATATCAACCAGCTCCTGTTCATAGTAAACCTGATTTATACGAGCATAAAACACGACAAAAAAATGCATATAGCAGCCCAAGCATATTTAAAAAAACAAGTATAAAAAATAAGGTTTATATTCTTATACATTTTCTAAAGTAGCAATGTATTTTTAATAAAATTCCATCCAAGAGTAATTTTAATGTTTACTTTTTTGTCTAATTGTTCGATTAGCCGAGTGCTGAAGATTTAGCACAAGAAATTATCGAATTAGAAAATAAGAAACCTGACATTCTTACGAGCCAAAAACCAAATTCACAGCAACGAAGCCAAGATGCTATGCTACGAGATAAAATTAGAAGAGACTATCAAGCTCTTTTGAAAAATCTCGATCTACTGTCTAAGGAAGAAAGGAAATTGAAAGCTAATAAAATTTCAGACGCTGCAGTAAGTATAAGAATTAAGGGAATTAATCAAATAAATAAATGTAAATAAATTTCTATAAATAATAATTTGTGCACAATAGAAGGAACGAATGGCTCATCCGATTAAAAGTAGCGATGATCATATGCGACGTCAGCAAAAAATGGATCGAGCTTTTCAAACTATTCTACGTTCTTCTCAAGATCCCGGTGTTACTTTAGATAGTTGGCCTGAAAGACCAATTACTCTCACACCACGAAACTACCTTCATTCTGATACGATTTCAACCACGACATGGAGAGCGCCGCCTTATATTAATGAAAAAGTTGAAGAAAGTTGTTCGGAATCCGACGATGAATTTACACGTAAAAGAAAAATTTCAGATCTTTTGCTAAAAATTGAAAAATTAAAAAAGAGGCTTCTGCAAGAATATGGAGCTGATTTGCCAGATGAGATTTTTAACGCTAGTGTAAAATCTCTTTTTAATTATTCAAATTCAGCGAGTCAACAACAACTAGTCAACGCTGATATGTCAAAGCCAAAACCTACTGTTCCGGAAATTCAAGTTATTAATATGTCAAGCTGCGACGAAGCTTTGAAACCGACGCGAAAAGTAATTAACCACGTTAAAAAAAGTAATACCACTCAAGTATCTTCAAAAAACGTATCAAAATTGTCTTCCGAGAGTTCCGTATCAACTCGTGATCAACAAGTCCAGGTTGAATTAGAAACGGTTAATCGAAATACGAAATCGAAAGACGAAACGTCTGTTAAACCATTAGAATCACTAGTTACGATCGTAACTCCAAAAATTTCAGAGAGTAGTAGTAGTATATGCAGTGACTCATCCGTTATAACTGATGTAGTTGTTGGCGTTAATAAAAAAGAAATAACAGTTCTTCCCAAGACTAGAGAAAGTAATGTAAAATGTTCTAAAAACGGCTCAACAAGTTCGTCCGTCAAATCGAGAAAATTTTCAACGAATAAGACGCCAGTCAAAATTTCTTTCGAACAAAAAAGCGGAAGCGCAGCATTTGAAGTTGCAGGTTTACTTATTGACGCCAATAAGAAGAAAATTACGATATTGCCGAGAAGAAGAAAAATTGTTTCGAAAAATGCATCGTTACCTACAGAATCGAGAAAATCATATTCCTTGCCCGGCAGTAGAGATACATCTCCATCCAATAAAGGTTCCAAGTCGGCTCCGCCATCCCAACAGTGTAGTCCGAAAAAATTTCTTGGATTACAGAAAGACAAGACCATTGAACAACAGTCGACCAACTTCGAGAGACACAGATATAGGACACAGTATACGCAAGTGTCGATAGATTCCAGTACGGAAAGCTCTCAATTGAATTATACTTCGGAAACTGCGGCTGCGACCGGTAGCGGTAGATTATTCAGAAGTTTTAAAACTTTAATGTCTAAGCAAACTATTACGAAAATGCAAGACTCTTCGGATGCATCGACGACCTACGCCAGTCCACCGGCAGCAACTGCGGGATCCATGCTCAACTCCATTACACGAACTACACCAATCTTAGAATTACTAAACTCTTCCATTAATGAAGTAATTAAACGGCAAGTGAGTCCAGTATCTTCTCCGGAGACACCTTCGCCTCGAACGATGAAGTTACCCTCGAACGTGCGGAGAAGCGACAAGGCTAACAAAAATCTCAAGTTCTCATCGCTGATTCATAAACAAACAATTGATCCTCCAAAAAGCCCTCGAGCCAGTAAGATGACATCGAACGATACAAAGGTGTCGCAGACGACGAAGCAGATGCCTCCCCAAAGTCACATGTGTACTTGCAAAAATCGAGTTTGCAAATTGCTTCATGAAAATACGGAGGACATACAATCTTTCGTTCTAAATAGGTGTCCCGAAATATTGGAGAAGTTCGAAGATTTAAAAAACAATTGCACCGAGAGAATAGCTTCGCTAACGGATTCAATTCAGAAATTACGCAATGAGCAGAAAGGTAAGTTCAGAGTATCTTCGCTATCGATAGCATTATAAAGATTGTTTGGGAAATACGTCATTTACTTTGATATTTAATTGATAATTATTCAAAACTCAAAGGGGAGATTGTTAGAACAAAAGCTCTTGAATGTGCAATAATTAAACGCGCTCGAAGTGAAAAAGACATTTAACAGTTATGCAGAATTTTAAATTTAATTACAAATAATACAGCATCTTTTTAATAACAATTATTCTCTAGGCTTAGAATTAGCAGTGGCAGTGAACGAGGACGCAAATCCAGTTGGCAAGATTATTTCAAACGGGCAGTTATCAAGGAGTTTTGAAACGAGCAGATTAGTGAATAGTATCGAGGCAATTCATACTCAGCTAAAGAGGAAACTATTGGAATCTCGAAAAATTATTTCCAGTAAGGGAATGAGTTTGCCAAAGTCGCCGGTAGCCTGCAGTTATGCGGATAAATCGTCGAGCATTAGCATCGACTTGTCGAAAGACATAACGGGAAGCGAGAGTCTCGAGGAACACATGGAAAAGCCAAAAAATACAGAAGCGTCGTCATCCAATAGTTGTGCAAAACCGAGGAACACAGAGGTGCTATCATCCAATGCTTGTGCAAAGCCAAAAATCGTATCTGACGAGCGCGTTAATATTAAACTCAATCACTTTCGATTAGAGGCAAATTCGAGAATGGCCGGTGGTGCTAACGAAAGCTGTAAACCCGCAGAGACGACGTCGAAGGTAGCTCAAGAACAAATATTAAGTGCGCTTGATCAAAATGAAGAAATGGTCGAGATGCTGTCGAAGGAGATTCTTGAGCAAAGTAAAAGCATAAATAAATCTGTAGCTATGGATAGCTTAAAAGACTCCGATGAACCTATCTTAAAACCAAGTAAAGCAGTGTCGAAGGATCTTGGAGAATCAGATAAAAATGAGGCTGCCAGTGATAATAATCAGTCAATTAACTTGGATGTACGTATGGTTAAATCAATGTTGTTTTCAATTACGTCGAATCAATTGTTTTTATTAATTTTTATTATTTTATTTTTATAGACCAGCATTTCGGATTTCATTCCTCTGCTGGCTGGTATACCAAAAATTCCGCGAACATTAACTAAAGGACCTGCGCATAGCAGAGGAAGACCTCCAGTTACATTGATAAGTGGACCATATAGGTAAAAAATAGTTGCATTAATTTTTTTTTTTTTTTACAAGACAATCAAAAAAAGAAAAATAAGTAATCAAAATTAGTAATTTTCTTTATATACGATTCCATAACTAAAAGGATATTATTATGGGCATTGCAACGATCAATAAAATTCCGACATCTCATTTCAGTCTAATAAATAAAAAAAGTCTTTTCATATAAATTATGTGTTTTTATATTTAACAATTTAACGTTTACTCGAATTATTTCATTTTTAATTCAAATGCTCTTTTATGTAGTAGGACGGAAATCGTATCGCCAGCACACGAGTTATCGACAATAGTCGAATTCGATACACCCGACACTGTGAATAAAAGTCATGTCAGCAAAAGCCCCTCGACCAAGTGTCGAAGAAAGCTTGCGAATAAGGAAGGAACTCAATCCATAACGTCGTCGCCATCAAAAATTACAGATGCAAAATTAAACAAATGCAAGCCATCGGTGCACGTGGCTCCTTTGCTCGCGCAACGTTCACCTCAGCGAGCCCTCCATCTCTCTAACAGATTATCGTCAAAGAACGTTGACAAGTCGCCGAGGAAATATGCGGTAAAGTCTTCGGAATCTCAGAATAGAGAGATTTTAAAGAGCGAGGTGAAAAACGGCACATCTTCGGACTCGTTGCATACATTACCAGACATACATATTGAGCAGCTGCAGCAAAGCCAAGACAACGCAGACGGCAATAATGAATTTCGTATCAGTGAAATTTCCGAGATGCACTCATTGCCCGATGAAAATATCGATCGACTATTAATTAGCGATTTACCCGAAGAGACGAGATTTCGATCTGCGACGACCGCGCACAAACGAAATGAACAAAAGTGCTTGTTGTCATCGAGCAGTTCCATAAGTTTCTCTGGTCTCTCCGGCGTTTCTGAGATCACGACCACTCCCACGTCGGATTTGAATTTATTTAAATATCCCTCGTCTCCCGAAGAGATGGAACTTGCGCTTAAAAAATGGGGCCTCGGCTGGGCAATACCGACCTTGAAGAAGACACGCGAGGCGAGCGCGCTTGGCTCTTCTTCGAGCTCGGACGTCACACCAGTTAATAATGTTGCGCGACTCGTTTCTCCAGTGAAAAAGCAACAAGACATCACTGCCAACGATTTGCCTATAATAAGCGACGTTTCTTCAATATCAATTAAACATGCCAATAAAAGTACCGAGCAATCTGTTCTCGTTCTAGGTAGAACATCAACTCCTAATAGATTGTCGAATACTCATTCGGATGAAACTGTATCGACTCTCGGTAGCTTCTCCTCGGATTTAAATATAATTGTTGAAAACCATAGCGCGGACATCACTGTTCCCAATATTTCATTTTCTAATGATAAACTTGTTTAATAAATATGATAAATAGCAGAATATTTTTTATTTTCAAATTTACACTACAATTACTGGCGAGCTCTTAATTTACGTTCGTACTCGACAATTATATTTTCCAATAATAATTTTTTTTTATTTATCGTTCCTTATGAGTGGTGCATTGAAATACGTAATTAGTCAAGATTTTTTAAGAATTTAATTTAAGAATGAAATATTGCACGATAATGTACAGAATATAATGATACACACAAACAATTATAAGAATTTAAAATTTTGATCTTAGTACCTTAGAGGCGTACGTAATATATTACTTTGATTTTTTTTTGTTTTTTGTTTTTTGTTTTTTTTTTTGTTTATTTAAATTAAAATGTTGACTGATATTTCATTATTTCAAGTGAAAATCGACTATTTGAATCAAATGTAGTTTAAATCATACAGACTGAATTTATGTTTAAGAGTGAGTGACGCGTAAACAATGTCCGTTAAATTTCTTATAGATAAAATAATTAATTTGTACAGAATAATTGTTGTGAGTTTGAGTTACATAAAAAAAAAAAAAAAAAAAAAAAAAAAAAAAAAAAAATAATAATAATAATAATAAAAAATGAATATAATAATAATAATAATAATAATAATAATAATAAAAATAAAAATCACAACTCTAAAGTACATTAATTCTATATAAAGCATATTTTTGTTATACAATTAATTCATTCATTGTCGTTACGTTTGCGTAAAAATTATACAAGAAATATAAAGCTTTATACAATTAAAACTTATTATTATAATATTTTACTAACAATAAATTTATGTAAATCTTATTTATAAACTCCATTTATTTCATAAATATTTTTATTGAAATTTAAAAAAATGCAATATTAAAGAAGATGCAGTGAAATATTTTTTAATTACATGTATCAAGAATATTTGCTTAATAAACTTCTGCCGTTATTTTAGTTACAGGGGTTAATGAACCGAAGTATAAGTGTTATATACTTACAGCCATGCTAATATAACAAAGTGATAATACAAATAATAAAGAACAGAAAATACTTTTGGACCTATATACAATTATTACAATGCTCTTGCAGTTTGTACAAGAATCACATGAAACATTAAATAACAAATTTGTTAAAATTTTCCAAATTATACTTATATTTTGACAGCCGCTAAATTGTAATTAGTTTACCAGAGCACCAAGGACAAGGATGAAAATTTGGTTCTAAGAAACATGTATTATTACAGTCTTTAATTTCAGTTAAAAGATCTAAAATCTGAGAAGTCGTTTTGTCGGTTTGATGGCTCGTATCGTCTAATTTATCTACAACCACATCCATAGCTTTAGCACCTTTACATTCACTTTTAGCTGTAAAGAGTTAATGGCGTTACGTTAGTTACGTTATTAATTGGTATGTAATTTATAATTTTGATAATTGGTCTACCGGAATTATCGCAAATAGACGCATTATCCTCATCCACGATAGGCTTAGCTGCTCCGACTGATTTCAATTGCTCCGATTTTAATAAATCGGAAACAAGTACTTTCAATTTGTGCAATTGCTGTTGTTGTTCATTTCGTTGCTCCAGAAGTTGTCGAAAAGTATTTTCTTTCTCTTTGGCTTTTTCTTGAAGAATAGAACGCTGTTTTTGATATAAAGTTACATACTCTCCTGCAAATGGATTTTAATTTATCATATAAAGCAAAAGCATTGGAATCGGTACGTTTTGAATAATAATGATCAAATTAATTACCTATTGTTTCTGTCTCTCCTTGCAATTGCAAAACAAGATGCTCAAGGCGTTGTTTCTCGTCCGTGAGTTCGGCAATTTTCTCCATAGTTTCTTTAAATCTAATCTCTAATTTTTTTACTGGTTCTGGTATACTTGCGATCGCGTTGTCCTCGGGCAATACGACCGGGGGTTGTATTTTCACAACATCGTCGACACTGTCTTTAGCCTGTAATTTTTCTTCCGAATCCGAGATATTAACGTTATCATGAATTTTTACGTTACCGATATCGGGATAAGTTTCTACGTTCGTGACATTTGTATCTTGAAAGTCGTCAACTTTTCTATGCAAGACTTGATTTTCTTTCTTTAAATTCTCAATTGTAATCTAAAAAAACATTTTAAAAATATCTATGCCTCGTATAATTCTTTTCGATAAAATGCCAAATATCTACAATGTTTTACCAACCAAAGCCTTTTGAAGTTCTTGTTGTAAGGTCGTTGCACTGTGCGATTGAGCTTGGTAATGTTGAATTTGGTCTTCAATCTGCGCCGTTTGTAATTTCTCTTTTCTCATTTCAACTAGTGCTTCCTCTTTCCTCGATAATTGCTCATTTAATTCTTCCACCTGCTTTTCAAGATCATTTAATTGGGCATTCAATTTTTTGCTAATAGTACGCTCGGCTTGCACTCGCTCGGTCAAATCTAATTTCGTGTTGCTCTGTAAATGAAAAACGACTGTTAAATTACATATTTGACTGATATTGTTGTGACGGAGAGGGGGAGTTGGAGGTTTGTTATGATTTATTAATTACCAAGGCAATAAAGGCATCGTTCATTTCGTCAAGCTGCGTCTTCAACAGCTGATTTTGCGATACTGCTCGAGAAGCACCAAGTTGTTCACTTTGTAAAGCTGTGGCCAATTTCGATGCTTCGACGTTATGCTCTTTAATATCTTGAAGTTCCCTTAAATCTTTTTTTAGCGTTTCTATTTCATTGTCCTAAAAGCAACAAAAATTGAATTTACAGCTTATGATTAAAATTTAAACTAGCGTAAAGCGATAAGCCAATTGTATCAATTAAGATTAATTAGATTATATAAATGTAAATGCTGGTCTTATTAAGCCATTGATTGTACTTTTTCATTCAACAACGATTGAAGATTTTCTTGTTCTAAAACAAGATTGTCAACACTTTTTGTTAACGTATCAATTTTTTCATTTTGAATTTCATTTGGTTTATCTAATTTTGCCTTTTCCTTTTGTAATTGCTGCTCTAATTCGGATAATCTCTGTACGTAACTTTGTTCGCGTATCTCAGAGTCCATAATAACTTTTTTTGACGCTTCCAACTATAAAATATAAGACTTCTAAATATTTTATTATTATTTATCAATGGATATGAATTTTTTTGTTAAGAAACCTCGGTCATGAGTTTTGTGTGTCGTTCATCCAACTGTTGAACATAATTTTGATATTTTTTACTCGCTTCGTTCTTCTCTTTACTTAAACTTTCCAGTGCTTCTTTCATTTGAGACAATTGCTGTTCGAGTACTCTTGTTGCTTGGTGTTGTGTTTCGAGCAAGTGTGCTTCTTGTGGTGAGCTTGATATCTGCCAAACATTTTTCAAATTATTATTTTATTTCCTCGTAGCTTATGATTTAAATGGCAAATGGTGAAACCTACTTGTTGGATTCGAAGTTCACTTAACGATAAGAGTGCACATTTTTCTTGCAATTCTTGTTGGATATTTTTGAATTCGGTATTTTTGTAGTTGAATTTTTGTCGCAATTCCGATATTTCTAGTTCAAAATCTTCGTTTTCCTTACTAAAATTAAGCATAATAAAGAGATTAAAAATAAATAAGCCATTTATGTTTACAAGTGCTTTTACGTACGTTAATTTCATTAATTTTTGATGAAGCTCATCGTTATTTATTTGTAACTGTTGACAAGCTTTTGTAAGATTTTCTAGGCTATTCTTAGCGGATGATAAATCTCTTTCTAATTCAAATCCTTGTTGTTGAGAAAGTTTAAGCTTTCCAGACACATCGATTGTTTCCTCTAAATTTTCAAACAATATATAAATGTCCAATAGAGTTAATAAATCACAAATAATTATTATTATACCGAGTGATGATTTTTGCAATTAAAAAACATTTTTTAAAGCTAATGTTATAATAATTAATGTTATAATGACAAGTCTCTATATAATAAATTTATCAAACCTATATGTAAATGATAAAATTGTAATATATTAGTTTGAAATTAAGATCTTAATATATATTTTTAATCAATCCGATTCCTTTAAGATTGTCAAATCTTATTTAAGCATGCAAAAATTTCCAAATCTTACTAATTTCACAAATATAGAGTCACTTTCTTATTATTTTATTATTTCTGAGTTTTATTGATTAAATTCTTTTATCACACAGCTTATTGGAAAGCAGAAATAATTAGAGTGTCAATTAATCTTTACACGCAATATCAGTATTTTAAAAATTGCAATCATCTTCGATAAAATTGAAGCGATATACCAGTTTTTTGCTTGATCGCTAATTGACATTGGGAATTTGTAGCAATTAATTCAGCTTTTTCGGCTACCAGAATTCCTATGGTCTGAGCATCCAGCTGTACTCGTTCTTTTAAAGGATTAACTTCTCTAATAAGTCGAGCTTCAAATTCTGTATCTTTATTGTGAATAATTGCTTCTAGCTCAGATATTCTACTAGTCTATTTATCGTATATTTAATTGAAAATTCATTATATTATCAATGTGATTCGTTAAAAATACTTTTTCAAATGAAAAAAAATTGAAACGAGCTATTACTTACATACTGACTAACTTGAACGTGTAATTGGTTTGCGACCTTTTTCTGTTCTTCTAAACAACAAGCTAAAAACTGATTTTTTTGCTCTAAATCGTAATTAGATAGCGTTGTGTCTTCTAAGCTTGTTTCGTCGACTAAAATATTTGCCACCGCATTTGCCATTTGTAATAAATGTTCTTTTTGCGACGAACTCGATGAACTACACGGTATATTTGTATCTACATTCGAATGCTCGTATTGCTTTTGCGCTAGATTTTGGAAGGCATTATTCTCGTCAATATTTTTATAAATTATTTGGGAAGATATTGGGCAACTGCTACTATCGTTGGTATTATAATTTATCGCGCCATTATTGAACGATTGAGATTTTAAGGAATCATTCAAAGACTCTCGATCTGTACAAATATTCTCACTACTTATGTCTTCGTTAGATACCGTAGCATTATTAATAGAATCTACATTACTAGTAACGTCAGAAATTGTATTCATATTGCTCAGCCGTACATCGTTAATTCCATTATTTTCATTCGATTCCAAGTTCTGCTGTAATTGTTGAATATTGTTTTGATTTGGCGACTCTTCGATCAATGAATTCTGCAAATATTACAAAATTGAAATACATATCGCAGCTTTTCATATAACGATTACATTTTTTTTTTTATAAAGCGATAAACCAATTTACTTGATCACTGTTCGGTTTTTCTGGATCAGTCTGTTCTTTTGGAATCCTGTCAATTTGATCTTTTTTAACGCGTTGAAATTCTTTAAGCTGAACAACGTCAAAAAGTGTGTATTTACAAATAATAAATATAAACGAGTGAATAATATAATTAGATTAATATGGTAATGGTACTATTTGCAATTATAAATACGCAATACTGTACCATTTTTCGCGCTGCCAGAATCCTTCTTTCCTTATTCATTTTTTATATCTATTCACGGCAGATAGTTCTCTTACAAAATTTTACCAAGACGACAATAATTTCACCAACATCTATCTACATTATTTATTTTGCTTACGACTTAAGTGCGAACCATTTGACAGCACACACAAACACAAAGGTTATGTCACGTCTTCAGTCTGCATGGCTTGCAACCTTACAAGTGCCACTTCACCAATTTTATCAATGAGGCTTTATTGTAATGTGCAACATAGTTAATTCTTCGGTTTAGGCTCGTTCCATATTCACCTATGCGATGCGTCGTCGACCCAAGCCGACCTCAACTAATTCGAACACGAAGATCAAACGTCGAATAGATAAAAAAATATAGAGAAAATGAAAAAAAAAAATGGTATAACGTTTACAAGTGCTTATGCTTTCATACCTAATTGACGTAGCTGGTCAAGTATTTATAATTTATAAAGATTTTTTATGAGCAATTCTGTGAGTTAAATGGATTTCTAATAATATTATCAAGTAAATATTTGTATCTGCTATATTATAGAAATATATTCTAGAAATCTCTAATGATTATTTTCCCTTATTCTTGCCGACTTTGATTTTGGAAAATAATATGACCACCCCATCGATTATCAATACTATTATTATCTGTAATAAAGTATAATATTTTTTAATTGTTCGTTCTATTTCTGTCATTGTTAATGGTTACCATTGAAAATCTGAGAAAAGGGTATTTTTCAAATGTTGGCGCGTTTGTTTTATCGTGCGGTGTTGCATACTTACAGTCGCCTAATTAAATTCAATTTGACATCACTGTTAATGTTATAAATAAAAGGAAATTAAAAGGAGGTGGGTGTATGCTTGAAAATGTCATCATCAACTGAATAGAATCTGCTAAAAGATCAAATATTTCTTAAAAGTTGTCTTTGTATAGTTAAAAGTATAAAAATAATTATTATGAATTGTATGGAATAGTATTTTAAATTTCTCTATGCTTTTCAATTCTGATTTGTTATGATAATTCAAACAGTAATTATGAAAAATGTCTGATACGGCAGCTATTTCTCCAATTGGAGGAACAAGGTGATTTATACTTTTCATCCAAAATTCAATTTTCTTTATTTAAGTGGAAATTTTCGTTTATTTTAATTTTAAATATTCTTTATTGTTTTAGAACTTGGGTTCAGTTAAACAGTGTTAGATACGATAGCGTTACTGACTTTGATGGTGACACGTTAAAAATGTTTAATTACGAGCACACTATCATGGTGTTGGACATGTATTATGGAATTGGTAATATTTAAAATATTCATTTTATTTATTGTAAAAATATTTCTAACATAATTCTTTATATTGCAGTCAAACGTCAAATTCTTCATTATCAAAGCTGTATAACTGGTCTCTTTCCTCAAGTATCTACTGATAAGACTGTTGGAAGCGTCAGGGAAAGTATATACTGTGCTGCTGCTATTTGGAGTTTGTATCAGGCCTATAGGTATAAATTTCATTAATTTGGCTCATTTTATTTATTTTTCTGAATAATTCGTACGAGTCATTTTATTTATTTTTCTGAATAATTTGTACGAGTCATTTTATTTATTTTTCTGAATAATTCGTACGAACGTAAATATTTCAGACGTATAGATGACGATCGAGGAAGATCTTACGAACTTGGACAATCCGCGATTAAGTGTATGCGAGGAATATTGGAGTGCTGGATGAAACAGTCTGCCAGAGTAGAATTATTCAAGAAAAATCAATGCAATCGCTTTGCTCTACACTGTAAATTCCATTTAGATACTGGAAATGAGATATTTAAAGATGAGCATTACAATCACTTGCAGGTAAAGAATATTAATTTGCAGTAAAATTTTTCTAATAAAAATACACATCCTAGGATATTTTTACAATTATAATTTGTCGTAGATCGATGTCGTGTCTTTATATTTAATTTTTCTGGTACAAATGATCTCATCCGGATTACAAATTATTTATACACAAGATGAAGTAGCTTTTGTTCAGAATCTAGTTTACTATGTTGAAAGAGCGTATAGAACACCGGATTACGGCATGTGGGAGAGAGGCAGTCGATACAACGATGGCACACCGGAAATACATGCTAGCTCAATTGGTATGGCTAAAAGTGCACTCGAAGCCATTAATGGATGTAATCTTTTTGGCGAAAAGGGAGCATCTTGGTCAGTTATATACGTTGATATAGATGCTCATAATCGCAATCGCAGTATTTTTAAAACAATGCTTCCAAGAGAATCCAGTTCCAAAGTACGAGCATAATCATAACTTTATAATTATTGAATATTTATTAGTGAAATATATATTTATTGCATTATTTTGTAGAGCGTTGACGTTGCCTTGCTACCAACCATTTCATTTCCGGCTTTTTCAACTCACGAGGAAGCTCTGTATAATGAAACAAAAGCCAATATAATCAAACGATTGAAAGGAAATTATGGTTTTAAGCGATTTGCTAGGGACGGATACAAGACCGTATTGGAAAATCCGGAAAACCGTTATTATAAATCCGACGAGATACAGGTAAATTTTATCAATATTCTTTTCTGAACTTAATATTATAAAAGGGAAAAGCTGAAAATCTAATTGTTAATTTGTAGGAATTCGATAATGTGGAATGTGAATGGCCATTGTTTTATATTTTTATGATCATAGACGGAGTTTTTAATACGTTGCCCGAACAAGTAACGGAATATCAAGCTTTGCTCACTGCTAGATTGTCCAAAGATTCTCACGAAGGTAAGCACTTACTTGCAATTGCGTGCGTAAAATCTTTTAATTGCCATTATAAGAGAAGCAATATTTTTTAAAAATAATAGTAAAGTCATTTGCTCATTTGTATCAAAATAATGTTTAAGACCCTGTAGTTCCAATGTACTATTATGTTCCTGAGGATAGCATCGAAGCCGTGAAGAGCGATCCGGAAGGTGCGATAAAAATTTCAAGTGATATTGGCAAAGGCTGTAAATCAGGGGAAGAGCATATTCCTATCTATTTATGGAATCAAGCAATGTATGTTATTGCACAATTACTTACTGCAAATTTATTGCATATCAACGAATTGGATCCAATTCGTCGATATTTACCATCGTATAATAGGCCAAGGAAAGTAGGGCGATATTCTGCTTTTCAGGTACTTATACAAATAAAATGAGCTTATTATTAACATAAACTTAATAAGTTTTATTAATATTACTATTATATTAATTTATTTCAATGTATTATTATGGTAATGCATTATTAGCCAATACTTTAACATTCTCTCTTTCATTAAATATTAAAGAGCATTTTCCATTTAATGAATTAATATTTTCTTTTAAATTTCATACAGGCAAAACTGGCAAGTGTAAGTACAGTTTTACACATATTACCTGCTATAGCGATAATATTACCAATATTATTTTGTAAACTTAAATATATTTAAGTTATTTTATTGTGTTTTAATGCAAGCACAAACTTGAATCCCTCGTACATAATAAAACTGCATATCAATGTGTGTATTTATTTACAAATAATAATTGCATGCATATAATATATTTAATGAACTATTATGAAATATTATGAATTGCAAAGTATGAAATAAAATAATATAATATAATATGATAGTATTATACAAATAGCTAATAGGGTGTAATAATATATGTAGCAAGTTTGCTTAGCCATTATTGAAAAGTGTATGGAAACTTTAAAAGTATTTTTCTAACAAAAAGATATCTTAAGTGTATATTATTTTTGAGTAATGCATATCTGTCAAACTTGTTAGGAATATCGATAAGTAATGCACCGAAATCTTGTAATTGACTTGCGTATGAAAGTGAAATGATCATTTTCAGCGACGAATATTACCTAGAGTTAAGACAGTTTTCTATTTCATATGTTGGTATTTTAAAATACCAAGTTCATAGATATATGTTTATATTTAAAAAAAAAATGGTAAATATTTATTATATTAAATAGGAAAAATATTGAATTAATATTTTTTTTCGTTTTCGTTAACAAAAAAAAAAAAAAACTATTAATCATTACACACACACACACACACACACACACACACACACACACATTTTTGTTCGTTCTATTAAAGTAATTTTTAATTTGTTTAAATTAATGTATTGGCAAATTTTTAAATATTTTTTTTTTTTTTTTTCAAATATTTCATGAAAATAGAATGATGTTGACCTTGCAAAATTCCTATATAATATATTATATTTATATGACAAATTTGTTATTCGTTACTTTCTTATGTTTATAAATTTACAGATTTAAAGTTAATTTGAAAATAATTTTATATATCAAAATATATTTTTTATATTCTCCTCTTTTAACATTTTATATACAACGTAGATATTTTTATTACCAATATTCCATACTAAAATTACTTACAAACGTTCAAGTAGATTCGATAGTAGTTCGATAAATTCTAAAATAAAGATATGATTTTATATTTTGCAAAATATTAATAATACTTGGCTTGGCTGTGACTACGATTACAATGAAATATTTCAGCTAAAAATAATTTTAAAATACATCTATTAATCTATACAATAAATTATTAAAATTTACATTTTATATAAATACTTAATATCTGTAAAATTAGCTCATAAGTATACTACATTCAGAGCACTCAAGACCGCATAAAGTGATAGAAAAGAACAAAATTTGATATCGAAATTTTCTTAGACGTCACATGTAGATGTGTTTAGTATTAGAATGGAGCTAAAATAATGTTGAGATGACAAATTTGTGCTGTATAAACATGAAAGTGAAATACTAAAATCTATTATGGAAATTATTTTTATAAGACGTTCAAATGAACATATTATTTGCTTAATTTTTGCTTAATATTTGTTTGATTGGTGCTACTTGAGTATCGATCGTTAATTAACAAAAAAAAAAAAAAAAAAAAAAAAAAAAAAAAAATCATAATCAATTACAAATTGTTATATTCAACTAAATAAATTAATAAATCGGTTGCATAAAATATTTCAATGTCCGTTAAGACAATAATTTCTATAATTCCAATATTTTTGAATTCAATCGAGTCTATTAATCATGATTTAATTATGTCACATGGAACGGATTATGTATGTTTATAGGTAATTTAAAAATGTTTCTTCCAACTAGTATTATTTGACTTTAAACGAGTATATAATTATTTTCAATTTGAATAAAATCTTAAAAAAATTTTATTATTCAGTCTATAATGGCATTATTTATCAAGTAAAGGATATTTACCTTTACTTACATACATAAACAGTATATAAACATTATTCAGTGTGCATCTTTATGGACATGTTTTTTTGTTGTTTTTTTTTGTTTTTTTTTGTTTTGTTTTTGTTTTTGTTTGCTTGTTTACAGGATACCCATACTGATCTTGTAGTACAAATTGTTTTGATCGCTGAATCCATGAGACTGCAAGCTATGATGGCCACATACGGAATACAAACTCAAACCCCCCATGAAGTAGAACCTGTGCAAATTCTTTCATCGACACAATTAATCAAGGTTTATCAATGCCTTGGTGTAAATAGTAAATTAGATCTTAAAGGCAGACCGGCAAGGCCAATTGGTTCCTTGGGTACCAGCAAGGTAAACATAAATCCATAATCTCAATTGATCACCACGTAATTGATTTAATGACGATTCTCTGTGTTTTGTTAGATATATCGGGTATGTGGTATGACAGTTCTTTGTTATCCTTTAATATTCGAGGTATCGGAATTTTATTTATACCGTGATTTGGCTTTACTTATTGATGACATTAAAACAGAGCTACAGTTTGTCGGGAAATACTGGAGATTATCGGGAAGACCCACCGTTTGCCTTTTAATACGCGAGGAGCATATGAGGTAGGGATGAATCATTAACATTAAAAAAGAATAAGATCGGGGAATGGTACGGGCTAATTAAATAATAATAATAATAATAATAATAATAATAATAATAGCAATAATAACAACAATAACAATAATAATAATAATCATTATTATTGTTGTTGTTATTGTTGTTATTGTTATTGTTATTATTATTGTTATTGTTATTATTATTATTATTGTAGGGATCCACAGTTTAAGGGAATGCTCGATCTTTTTGCTATGCTGAAAAAAGGATATTGCGATGAGACGAAAGTGCGCATCGGTAGACTTCAAAATTTGATATCATCGTCTTGTATAGGTAGGTGTACATTGTATAGCTGCAGCATTAAACTAATAGATTTAATAGATTTTCAACTATCAATGCCCGACTTTTTCAACAATTATCCAATGTATGTTTAACTTTAACGCCGGCAGAACATTTAGATTTTATCAATACAATGGATACGGATTTGGAATTGAGCCAATTTAAGCAGTTGGAACACGATTATATCGGCTACCAAAGCTTAACCGATGTCCCAATAGTCCTTTCTTACGACGAAGATTTAAAAGATTTTTCCGTGAGCTATTACATTGATTTTAGCGCATTCTGAAATTTTAGCTTTGTTTTGCTAGTTAATAATTATTAACGTGCTTATCATTAATTCTGCCTACGAATTATCAGTTTTTTCAGAATATGAAAGACGAATCTACCAGTAATATAATACATGCCATTAGAAATACTGAAGGTTTGTATGGAAAATGCCAGCTATACGGCATACTTTTGCAACGAGAGGGTGTGAATTATCAAATCAATGGTACAACAGGTACGGCAGAGGTTTTTGTACGGCAGATTGTTTAGACATTTTTGTACTTTCTAGAATTTTCATACTAATGCATTTCACCGTAGTTGGGGAAACTTTAAGGTCATTGTATCAGCAGTCGGGAAGCCTTCGCCATTGGATGGCTGTGCGTTATTGCAGTAGTTTATTAAATCATACTGTCGATAGTATTAGTCCATTTATAACGGGTGTCCTCGTCAAAGGCAAACAAGTGAGTTTGATTATGCGTCTGAGCTTGGATGTGCCGTCAATTAAAACTACATAGTCTGAAATTAAAATAACTCAATGTAGATTGCCGTTGGTGTTATTGGACACCATGAAACTGTTTTCGACAAGCCCATGACACCTGCCGAAATTCAATCGGTCATGTATTCCACCATCCAGCCCCATAATATTATACAAGCTGTACTGCAGCAAGAAGTATTGTTATATTGTGGTCGACTGATCGGAACTAATCCCGAAATGTTTAAAGGAATACTTAAAATTCGAATCGGGTACGAGGATATGCTCTTAAAGGCCATACGAGACATTGTTCAATAATAATTAACTCTGCTAAATTTATGTATTGTTATGCAGATGGGTTTTAGAGGCTATGAAACGGTATTTGCAAATATTTGGAAGAACTTCGAAGCCTTTGGAAAATTACAGCCCTTACGAAATACGTCAACTACTTATAAAAGTCTTGACGGTAAAAGATTGGGCATTTAAGGAGAAGTAAATTATTTAAGTTTCATTTATGTTTAATAAGCCTATAAAAAGTATTATATTGAAATCTATAATTGAAAATAGTTTGTCAATACTGGAAAGAAGAAAAATTGAGGGTAGTCTGTGCAGAGTCCCATCGCACTTTTACAATCAGGTTTGGCAAGTACTTGAGAGATGTTCGGGTGGTATTTGTGTTAATGGACATCAAGTGCCACAGCAACCAACTTTGTCAAAAATGACGCGATCAGAACTTACTTTTGCTCTTCTTGTCGAATCAATACTCCACCATATAAATATTCCAGAATATCGTCAAATTGTTATCGAGGTATATCTATATATATAATACAAATATGATTGTTATTATTATAATTACTATTATTACATCAATATCTATATATTTACAAACATTATTATTATTATTATTTTTTCTTTTTTAACAGCTTTTAAATATCGTTTCGACAATTTTATTGAGAAATCCAGAATTAACTTTTCAAAAACAGTTAAATTTAAATAAACTAGTTGATGATGCCTTTATTATATTTTGCAAGGTAATGTAACAAGACTATTAAATTTCGTAATAACGGCTAATTATAGAATAATTGTTTTATCGATTGAAAAATTATTTTTACTCAGGATCATTGTTTGGAAAGAACAAAAGACATGACGCTGTTCTTCTCTGCAAATTATTCTCATACAACAAGCTTTCTATCTAGGGCATTTGTAAATAATTTTCTCACAAGTGATAGTGTTAAAAATATTTCGAATACCGGGGGTAATTTAGAAGTAAATGAAATATGCAAGATCACATAAATGAAATAATTTTGTTTTAAATAATCATCGTTAAAATGATACAAAATACTTTTTATTGTATGAATCTTATAATGTATAAATTAATATATTTTAATTAAATGAAAAATAAATTGTTTTAAAAATTATTTTATACTGTACATTGATGTAAATTTCTCATAAATGTATACAACAATTATATAATATGAGATTATCCGTCACTAGATTTGATTTTGTTATCTTTTGGCAAAATTCTTATCCATAGAATGCTTATATCTTTGTATGTTATTCATATTTGATTTGATTCTTGACGCAACTGTTTCCTTATTGGCGGCAATTGCCAAATGCTTTCTGTTAATAAAATATATCATAACATTTATTATACAAGTCTTCAAATACATTTATATGCATGTGTTTTTCATATGTGTACTTACTGCAAGAAATTTTTATCAAACGATGTTGACTTTATTAATTCTTTTCTTTCTTGTTCTTCATATTTTTTTACATTTTGCTTTCGTTCTTTATCTCGCCACGACGCATTATCCATCATTTCTTGTCTTTTACGCTCTTTTTCTTCTTCTGAAAGTTTTTGTTTCTTACTAGGTATCCATCTTTCTTCTTTTTTTACAGATTTAGTTTCAGTATTTGAATTTTCTCCCGCTGATAATTGCTTTCTATGTGGAGATATGCGCGTTCCATCGGCTTTCTAAAGTGATATATAAATTATAGTTTAATGTTTAATGAAATTTTGGTTATTTTTCGTTATAGTATAGGAATTATAATTATAATACTCAAATTGTTCTTCGTACCATTAATCCATAATTTTTTGATTTATGTCTTGAGCTAACATCTTCTTCATCGTAATTTCTGTAATTTTTTGAAGATGCGCCGTGACTCATTTCTTTTCTTTTCTTATGCCTTGTATCATGATACGTATTATTTAAATCTTTGCTTTCTCTTTCCGTATGATTTTTATGGCGATATTTCTTAGTGTCAATGTCTTTTATTTTATACTTCTTTAATTTATGTTTTTTCGATTTTCTCAAATTATTAACGCTGTCTGAATCGCTTTCATGACTACTACTACCACTGCTGCTGCTGCTGCTGCTGCTGCTGCTGCTGCTATTACTACTGCTGCTGCTGCTGCTGCTGCTGCTGCTGCTGCTGCTGCTGCTGCTGCTGCTGCTGCTGCTGCTGCTGCTGCTGCTGCTGCTGCTGCTGCTGCTGCTGCTGCTGCTGCTGCTGCTGCTGCTGCTGCTGCTGCTGTTACTACTACTACTGCTGCTACTACTACTACTACTACTTTCTTCTTTCTTTCTCTTTTTAATTTTTTTATTCTTTTTATGCCTTTTAACAGACCTAATTAGAGCCGCTTCATTTATTTTACCCTTCAATTTTTTGTATTTAGCAGCTAATAAATCATCCAGTCTTTTATTGTCATCTCTTTCATCTGAATCGTTCAATGACTTCTTTTTTTTCTTTCTCTTCATTTTATTATCTTTGGATTTTAATTTTTGTTGCGCCACCTAAAATTCATACTACCATTATACTAATAATTATTATTAATTACAATGGTAGAAATTATTAATTATATTATTACTAGTTGTTGCAGTTGCTTTAATTTTACGGGATTTTTCAATAATTGAGATCGCGTTTCCAATTCTTTTTTTTTAATAGTATAGAGAGGATCTTCTTGTAGTTTTCTTGCCAAATCCACTTGATCGTTTCCTGAAAAGAATCTCAAGGATGGTGGTATACATTCTAGAAAATTAAATTTATCAAAACGTTAATGAATTGTACAAACGATAGAATGTTACTTTAAGTATTTAAATAATATAACTACAACCATGTTCAACATGATTTTTAACAGGCTTATTTAGTTCAATATCTTTTTCAGTTTGAGCCATTTGTTCAAATTGCTTGTCAATCGGACGACCTAATAAATATTCCTCTCGATTAACAGATTCGTTTGGTCCCTTATACATCCAATCTAATTTCTTGTCATCCTTTTTCTCAATAACACCTTGATCCATAGCAAAAGCTTTCATTTCTTCTTTATCTCGTTCGATTGCTATTTCTCGCTTTAATTCTGCTATTCTTTTCTTTTCTTGATTATCTTGTTGTTTTGCTTTCCAAACTTTTTCTATATTTTTCATGGTTGATGGATGCCATGACTTTTTTAAATTCTAAATAATACAAATATCAGTATAATTTTAGAATTATAAATGACTTATCTGAATCCAAGATTTCTGACTTTTTAAACTATGTTAAATTACATTTTTTTTCAAATAATTATTATGCTCAATACATTATGTAAATAATTATTTAAAACTTGGAATAGAAAAAAAAAAAACAATTTTATACATTACTTCTGTATATAATCATACTTATTTGTAATTACTTATAAGCATAAAAATTTGAAATTAAATTATTAATGCACAATAAACAATGATTAAATAAAATCTGTATGAAAATTAGAATTTTTAAAAATTATTTATATACTCACCAGATCTCCTCCACCCATATTTAAAAAAATTTTCAGCACAAATAAATTTCTTCACGAGTATAAATAAAGTATTTTTCAAAGTAACTTATTATAACGGAATTCAATACATCACTGCATATGCAATATTGATTATTGAATCATATTGTTTATAATTCTCATTTTGTTTTTATAACAAATTAACTCCAATGTATAACAATACTCTCGCACTTCTCTTTACAAATTAAAAAAAATATTTTATTGGCATTGATTTAAGACATTGATATGTTTCAAAGGCATTTTTACTTAAAAATATTAGTTTTATGGATTTTTAAGTAAACTAACTAATAATACTCGATTATGCGTCACATGAAATTTGTCTAAATTTGTGTAATGAGCAATAATAATCAACTGTGTGTGTTTTAGGTTATGTACTCTTTACGATTAGTACGCAAGCGTAAATTATTATTTTTGAAATATTTGAAATTGTCTATTGTTGAAATTGTTAAAATAAGAAAAAAATAAATAAATCACAATGTACGTTATTACAAGGATTTATTTACTTATATTTGATTTGATTTGATTAATATTTTATGAATATTTTATTTATTTGAATTTATTTGTTCGAAAGAATTGTCTGAACTATTTTTTAAAGTATCGTTATTGTTGATAAAAATTTTAAATTATTTGAACAATAATAAGAATAAAAATGAAGATTAAGAAATGATAATAAGCTCAAGAGAAATTATAATACGGAATTTTTGATAATACAGAAACTAAAATTATTATTTATATAAAAATGATAATTTCAAAGACTCGCGCATATAGAAAATATTTTTATTTAAATATAAAAAATTGTGCATTATTATTTCTGTCACAAGTCATATATTTTAATTAAAAAGAATGTTAACATAGAAATTAGCTTGCTAATATTTTCAGAATTTTTATATATTTAAATTACCAATTTATAGCTTATTACTAATATTTGAGATAGAATAATGCATTAATTAATAAATGTGGAAATTGTTATATTATATTATTCTCTAAATCATTTCTTCGATAACGGAATAGTGTTGTAAATAGTTGGGTTCCGGTACATTATACATTTCCAATATAGAATTTTTTAGAGATAGTGGGTGACTTTTATGTTTTAAATAATTTAAATTTAATAAATTTGAGGAGGCATAGGAATGATTATAAATTATAAATACTACAAATATACTTTAATAGAAGATGGCTTTTATTTATTTTTTACATTTACTTTGTACATGCGGTAAAAATGAGTGATTATAAATACAAATTTAATGTACATTTTATAAATATTAAATTTCAATATTACTAATTTAACATAAGATGTATATTTATTTAAAATTCAATTAAATTATTAATAACTACAATTTTCAAAAAGTATACTGGATGTCAACAATAATAAAATCATTATAATAATAACATAGAGGTCATCGCCTGCGATTTACATCTCTTAAGAATATTTCAAGTTGTAGATTTCAGATATGTACATTGTAGTAAACACTATATAATAATAATAATAATAATAATAATAATAATAATAATAATAATAATAATAATAATAATAACGATACAATAGAAAGACTCGTTCAAATTGCATTATAAGTCTTTTTCGCTCACAATAGCAGTAAAATAAATTATTGTATCACAAGAAACAGGAATTATGGTGCGATTGTACGAAACTATGAATTTTCAATAGTTGTTCGACATGTATAATAAATGGTTACTACATTGACTAGAATATGCCAATGAACAAAATTTTTAATACTAGCACTACCGTCCTGCTCTTGGATTTAGTTGATCTTTGTGACTTTGTTCGACTTTTGTTCTTAATTTTAATATTGTACTGCTAGGTAACGAGCCAGGTAGTTTAAATATGCTCTAAAAGTTTTAAAAAAATTTACAAAATATATCTACATAATATTGTATATTATATATTTGCATTTTGGAGTAAAATTCGATGAAAAGCATTTTTTTACAATACTGCTAAATCATCTTGGATGCATAAAAAATTATTTCTTAATTAATTTTGCAGTGCTCTTTAACAAACCATTGACGGTGTGAGAGTTTTAACTAGACTATAAATACCTGCATAAAGTCATGGCATTGAAGAACAATACTATCCTTGGTAATGTCTTTAAAGCATTCCGCTAACTCGGTAAAATCCTGACAAGCCAATAAATTTTCCTTATTCCTTTTAATTAATGTGAGTGCCACTCTGAATACAATTTTGTTACCTTCGTAAAAAAGACAGTCCCATATTCTTAAAGTTGTCTATAAAAGAATATTACATTTCACATTTTAATTAAAATTTATTAACAAAAATTTCATTATTTACCTCTGTTGGTAAAACTTCTGCGAAGAGACAAATAAACCATTTGGTTGTAATTACAGCCCATGGTAATCCCATGTTGGTCACATGCTGATATACATCTGGCATTTTTATCCTATTGTTATAATTTTTATACGATTATATTGACTTTTATAAATCTTAGCTCAATGCAATTTAAAATTAAATTAATTGAAAGCATTTTACTTGACCAGTTCTGCTAAAACATCAATATCTGTAATTAACCCTTTCATGGTTGGTGTATAATATTCCGGTAAAATTCTTTCTATTAATACTTTCAATAGCCAAAAAGCTGTTTCTTCGCTTTTTGTGACAAGCAATAGCAATCCTGCTATATAATTTAGGCCCTAAAAATAATTAAAAAAAATTTAATTTGTACAGTCAAATAGCCCCTATTTACATAAATATTAAATATATTTTCACCTGACAATAGCCAACTTGTCGATTGTGATGCGCAAACGCTAATAATATATTAAATAACTGGCGTTGATGACGATCTGTATTATTAAAAAATATATTATCGGGAAATGTGCGCGGAAGGTCGGTTTTTATAATATCAGAGACATGAGAATCATGCGGACCAATTAGTAATTGTTGATATAAATTGTGAAAATTATGTCTCAATTCTTCTCCACCGCTGACAGAAAGCCAAACCTAAACAAAGTATAAATTAATTTTAAATAATACTTCAAAACATTTACGTTTTATATCTAAACATTAAGCTTTAATAATATTTACCAATCCTCTATGTTCTCCGGGAATACCTTTACGTACATAACGTTTTATTGTAATGCTGCGTTCCAATGATCTACCTTCCCCTATAATTTCAGCCCATTTCCTTGCTCTTTTAGCAAGAACTTTTAGATATTCTGACATGAATTCCTCATATGTCTCGTAATTAAAATTATGTGGTCTTTCAAATCCATATTCATCCACATTACTAAAATTAAATATTCTTATTTGTTATTGTGATGATAACTTATCGGGATACATGCCGTTTACAACATATACATTTAATTTATAAAAAATTTGTTTAAACATTCACTTTCTTCGGAAATTTACAAATGACAAATGTATAAGCAATTAAAAATAAAAGTCAACAATGTAAAGAATTTTAACTGCTTAACCTCGAATAACCAAACAATTCTTAATTATCTAATTAAATTTTCATTTCATTGACAATTGAAGTATAATTTAAAAAAAAGTAAATAAATGTTGTCTATTAATCCTTAGAGCATTACCTAAAGCAAGAAGTGGCCATACCACAAATTACTTATTTTGGCCACAAAATAATGCAACACAGTATTCATGTGTACGTTAATCTACAATCGTCTGCATAAATGACGTAGGCGAGAAGGGACTTGAAAGCATTTCTTTTCGCAGTAGGTAAGGTTAGTCTATTGGTTACATCGATATACGTCGACCTAAGAGAAGTTAAATTCGAGTCTTATCGATACTTAAAACACACCACATGGCAACTACAGAGGATAAAATGGCGTTAATCGTTCCCTGCGTTGCCAGTAAGCAATTTTCTTTATTTTTATATAAAATATTACCTAATTTGTTACGTTAGTTAGTAGGTACTTAAATTGAATTAATGAAATTTCTGTATTATACGGGATATGTTAAAGATAAGAATAATGTCAATTCTTACTCGATTCGATTTAATGGATATAGACTGATTGTAAAAATATTTATCACAACTAATTCGAATTGCCGACTAACGATCAAATTATACTTTCGAATAAATAACAATCGCTTTAATCAATTATTTTACATATTATATTCATATATATATATATATATATATATATATATATATATATATATATATATATATATATATATATATATATATATATCTGCCTATATATTTTTATATATTCGTATGTATATCTGCATATGCATGCATATATATGCGCGTGCATGCACGTGTGCACATGTGTAAATATGCATATATATGCATATATATATATATATATATGTGTGTGTGTGTGTGCGCGCGCGTGTGTGAACATGTATAAATATGCATATACATGCATATATATATATGTATATATATATATATATATATATATATATATATATGTTTCAAAATAAAATGAACAGTTTACCATTAATGCACTATTCAATTTGTCTTTACTTTAGTATAAACATATGTAAAAAGAACTACAAACTATGTTTACTTACAGATGGCGTTTATTAGTATTATAAACGCGACTATATGATTATTAACAAATAATCCCCAGTGTAATAATGAAATTGGAAGTAATTTTTTTTTATTTTTTTTTTTTACAGTTCGAGGTTCGACTGGCATAAGTATTACACAGGGCCCTCCAACTTATGAACCAGTTTCGTTATTTACTAAAGATGATAGTAAAGTATGTAAAACAATGGCATTTAGCCCTATGGGACGTTACTTTACATGGGTCAATGGATCATCGGTTAAAGTTGTTCTTTGTGAAACATGGCAAGTTGTTGCTGAGATTCATCGATGTAAAGTTCAATCGGTTAAATTTTCACCTCAAGATACTTATCTTATGACATGGGAACCTTTTATTGGTTAGTATAAAATATTAATAATTTATTTATAATGCATTAAATAACATAAATAAAAATATTATATATTTATAGTATCTGCAAATAATTCTCAAGGTGGTCCTAATCTTTTTTTTTGGAATCCTGAAAATGGAGAATTAATAAAATGCTTTATTCATAAAAAACAAATTGATTGGTAATATTTAAGTTTAAATATTTTTTTATATAATCATGTCATCACAAATTTAAATATACTAATTTAATTATTCATAAATGTACATATTAATTGTATCAGGGAACCACAATGGTCCATTGATGAAAAAATTTGTGGTCTCTTAGTTAACAATGATGTTGTCTTATACGAAGAATCAAATTTTGACGATGCAAAAGCATTTAATAATAAAATGAATGTAGGTAAAATTGCCAAGTTTAGCATAGCTCCAGGAGCTGCTCCATATCACATCGTTTGTCATATGCCTGGTAAGCATAAGTATAAGTATTAAATTTAAATATAATTTAATATTTCCAATATCAGTTACTCTAATAAAATAATGTCATTTGAAACACTCGCAGGAAAATCTGGACCATCATTTGGTAGATTATTTCGATATCCAAAGCTCCCTGCGAACCAACCAGTAGCAAATAAGAGTTTTTTTCAAGTAATTTTTTTAATGTATTGTTTTTTGTGTATATAAAAAAAAATTCTACATTATTCAATAGAACTATTTGTACAATAGGATGACAGAGTTGATTTTTATTGGAATAATCAAGGAACTAGCGTATTATTATTGGCTAGTACTGAAGTTGATAATACAGGCGCCTCCTACTATGGAAAACAAACCTTGCATTATCTTGATACAAAAGGCGAAACTGCTCTGGTAACATTGAGTAAGAATATTTTTGTTTATTATTAAAGATTTTTTAGTTAATTCTTCGCATTTCATTAGCTTTTATTAAAATGTATAGGTAAAGAAGGTCCTATTCATGCAGTACAATGGTCTCCCAAGCAAACCGAATTTATAGTTATATATGGTCTAATGCCATCGAAAGCGACAATATATAATTTACAGTGTGAACCTGTATTTGAATTTGGTACCAAGCATCGTAATGCTATTTATTATAACCCACATGGCAACAATATCCTTTTTAACTAATCATTTATATTGATTATAAATTTTAAGTTTTATTTAATTGTTTATATAATATTCAATAATACCTTAACCGATGTGCACTTGTCATTTTGACTGGTTTTGGAAACTTGAGGGGAGAAATTGAATTATGGGATACGGTGAATCGAAAATTAATTGCAACATCGGATGCCCCTGATTCTACACTGTTAGAATGGTCACCGGACGGTGAACATTATATGACAGCGACCACTGCACCGAGATTACGAATGAGTAATGGGTTAGTTATAAAATATAATGTTAATTTATTTATCGTTAAATAAGTTTTATTCGACAATTCATATTGATACCGATCATTCATTCTTTTTTCTTTGTTTTTTTACACAATGCTCGAAGATATAATTGGAACCGAAGAATAATCAACACGTTTGAACTTATTAGTAATTTTTCTTTTAATGAATTTCAATAAATCATTGATTTTGTTTAAAGCTCGTCGAAATATCAAACACTTCAAACATCAAAAGATGTAGTTTTACTAAATATGAGTTACAATTGTTCTTTAAGGTTTCAGTTTTGTATTAAATCTTGACGAGAAATATTGCTGTCATAATTAAATATGTTTCAGTTTCAAAATTTGGCATTATACCGGTACTTTATTATATGAACGACCTTGGAATAAACAAGAAGAACTGTGGGAAGTTTTATGGCAAAAATTCCCTTCTGATCTTTTTAAAGAAAAACCTATAAAGTATAAAGCAGTGGGGGGTATTGCACCTAGTCAACCACAAGGTAAATAAAATATATTTAGCGTCGTATATAAAACTAATTTACTCGTCATCGACTCAAAATCTATTTTTAAGTATAATAATAATAATAGTAATAATAATAATAATAATAATAGTGTGTAATTTAAGTATCGCAATTAATGTTTGTATTTCCTTCCGCAGCATCAAAGCAAGCATATCGACCACCTTCCGCCAGAGGAAAAACTATTAATTTTAAATTACACGATGATGTAGATGATCCTAAGCCATCAGAATGTAAGTACAATAGAAAAACTTTATAAGTTTCAAGCAACTCATATTTTGCTAGTTTAATTATTTCATTAGATAAAAGATATAGAAGACAAAATTTCGAAATGAATTTTAATAATAAATTGGTTGTTAAAATTTTTATAATGTAAAAACTATTCAATATTTTTTTAAAACAATAATTTTTATTTAAACAATTTAAAAATGAAGCTAATATAAAATTACAATAGATACTCTAAATTTTAAATAAACAAGGCAGAGTATGAACGTTTACAATATGTAATGATATAAGTATAAAATCATATCGATGGCTCCGTAATATATACTATAATCTAAGTTACATATATGTAATTATCTTGATTAATTTTATTTCATTTTGGCCTCATGATGTTTTTCTTTAACTTTGTCACAATTAATTTGATTTAAGTTGATATTGCGGTTAATACACGAATCCAAATTTTATCATCATATTAATATTAATTAATAATAATCTAAACAAACAAAAAGAAAAGAAAAATTGGTTAAGGATTTGATATTTACTATTAATGTTTCATCAAATGACATCTCTTTTTAATTTATTATCAAGCAATTCCGTCAAAGAATTTCCTTAAAGTTAAGAAAAAACGTGAGGCTAAAAAGGCCAAGAAGGAACAGGAAGCTGCGTTATCTCAGACACAAAGCGGTAATGTAACAGCTAATGGACAAACCAATAGTATTACAAAAGTCAGTAGTCCAACTACTTCAGCTAATTATGATCTGACTAATGATCCAGAGAAGAACAAAAAAATTAAAAAGATCAATATTGTAAGTATGGATACCATTAATAAGAAATTGTGTAATAAAAGTTATTGATAATTGTTGTTCTTTCTATTAACTATTTATCATAGAAGTTAGAACAAATATCCAAGCTCAAGGAGCAGCAAGTAATGGGCAAGCAGCTGGAAATTAATCAATTGAATAAAATCAAGAAAGAAGCGGAATTAATCAAAGAACTAGAGGAATTGATTTTATGATGCTCGATTCAGCATATAATTTATGTTGCTTTTTTAAACCTGATAAAAGTGTATCAGGAGATTTTGATAAATCGGTAATATCTGACGCCAATCGAATCATCAAGTCGAATCAAACTTATTATGCATTTATGAATTGTTAATATGATTTGATATAATCAATGGATGACCAATATGTAATGTTGGTGCACAAAAACAATGAATTGGTAGTGATATTACTGAGAATACTCATCAACCGATTGATGTGACTGATTCATCAATAACCGAGTATGACCGAATTTGCTTTACAATATGCATATAAAAAAAAAAAAAAAAAAAAAAAAAAAAAAAAAAAAAAAAAAAAAAAAAAATAAAAAAAAAAAAAAACAAACAAAAAAAGCAACGAAAAAACAAAAAAATATATATTGTCCATTGTCCTATGTCCAAAGGAAAAATGTATGTTTTATGGGCACGAGTGAATGGCATTTTTAATTGTAGCCAGGCACAAAACTGTAAAATTTGCTATATGCGAAATCTCGTTCCTTCAAGTAATAACTTGAACATAAGATTTGTAAATATATTTACCCTCTGTGTTCATTTGTAATACCCTTTTCTCACAATATCGTTACACTTTTATCAAACTTTCAATTATTAGATCGATGTTTCTTCAATATTTTTTTTTTTTTTTTTTTTTTTTTTTTCCCCTCTTGCTTGTGGGTTTTCTTGAGTGGAACTTGATAACTATTTATATTTGCAACCTAAGTGTTTTTGCATTAAATTGAAATCGTAAATTAATTATTTCTCTAAATTTGTACAAACTGAACATTCATTAAACTACGCGCGCCCGTAAATATACATGCGTACGTGCGTGCGCGCGCGCGTGTGTTTGCGTACGTGCATATAGCCGTGTAAACGCGCACATTTTTTTTTATGCGCACGTGTGTAGTTTATATTTAATTTTATTTAAGTATAGTAAAAGTAAAATAAACAAGTGTACTAAGTAAACATATCATTCATTACTTTTTGAAAATTTTAAATACATATTTTTCAGTTTTATAAGATTGAACACTGTATTTATACGACTAAAGCATGTATGAATTAATTAACAGTATAATTAAAAAAATATTTTTTATAATTCAGACGATACTTTAGGATATTGCTATATAATTTTCTATAAATAAGAGACCTTATGAATCCAAAGCTTCCATTTCCCCGTCCTCTCCCCCTCCCTCCTCCCGGCGCTCGTTCTTGCTTAAAGACATTTCTGCTATTATTTGAATCATTAGATCGAGCTTGACAAAGGTAAATCTTTTTTCTCCTCTTAATTTCATTATACTTGATATCGTTATTTCTTCTCTCATTATTCTTCTTTTATTAAAGTGTGTTCATTGATGAAAATTGACGTATTCGTATTTGAGATGGTTCATCACTTAAAGAGAAATCAAACGATAAAAAGGAGATAAACGGGCCCATTACTCGTTAATATTAATAATCGCAGTAATCGGGGCGTTTACGTGATAATACGTGGTTTGGTCGCAGATAAACGGCCTTTTCCCCAATTTGCTGCCCGCAAGCTTTAAAAGCACGTACACGAAAAAAAGAGGCAAAAGCCCAGCATTGTGGTTGGATGGAGCGATACAACTCATCTACTGTTTACTGATTTTCCACCTATTTCGAGTCTGTCTATAATGTTATGTTAAAAAACTGCACCGCGAAAATCTAGAGAAATATAGGCGAGAGAAGGCGACTTTTTCGTACCAGCGGTGGTGGTGGTGGTGGCGGTGGCGGTGGCAGCGGTGGCGGTGGCGGTGGCAGCGGTTGCGGCGGTTGCGGCTGCGGCGGCAGTGGCGGCAGTGGCGGCAGCAGCAGCAGCAGCAGCAGCAGCAGCAGCAGCAGTTGAAGCGTGCAAAGGTAGGACGTGAGTTGTGCGCGATTGACTCCTATCCTCGTGTCGGTGCGAGCAACGCTCTGGTTGGGCGTGTTGGTAGGTGCGCGTACGTGGGCTACGAAGACGGTTTTTGGAGTCGCGCGGCTCTTGTG